CAGCATGCCGTGCTTCTTTGTTACTTATTCCGGGTTTATGTATTATTATGTTCCTTCTGCCTGGTGGTTCCGTTGTTGTATACCTTGTTCTCATTTGAGAACGTGATATTACTTAATTGGATTGACCAAGATTCACATGCGTGGTGACGTCGATGAAGCAGAGGACGCTTACTCTTCCGGAACACCTGGTCTTATTCTCTTGTTTTTTTTTCTTTCTAGGAATCTCTATATGAATATTTCTTTGATAACATTTTTATGTAGTTTTATCGAATTTGAGTTTGAGATTATGTACATATGCCGGTACTCTTGTTGTATTTGCGTATAAAATGATAAATCCATTCAATTGGTGACGTGTTTGTATTACACTACTGATTTCTTACCTGATATACGATTAAGGCTAAGTCTTTAATTAACTTCAACTGACTCACGAGACAGCAAACACCAAAATGATGACTTTTGATCAATAATAAAAAAAACTTCCGAAGCGAAACTGATATCGACTAAGTTATTTTTTGTAGAAAACTAGAGCAGTCAGCAAACATATATAATAACCAACGCACGTGAGGTTAATCGTAACTCAAGATATTGGATGTCAGTTCTGTCGATAACTGATAACTATCTATAACTTTGTATTTGTTCTTGTTGCTGGAGAAAGTAGCCCAATAACTTAACTATGTATACACCAGACATACACTTCACTCTGATGGCGACGCATTCATATTCTCTTGTCTAACTTTTATAATAAGCTTTAAAATTAATAGTCAATGTTGCCGCTACAAGTTCGTGTACATGTAGCTTTTAACTCATCCTTTAACGCGCAACTAATTCATGAACAAACAGCACGATTCTAATTCATGGTTTTGTTTTACGAGAAATAACTTTCTCTTAAAACTGTTCATTTACAAACATAGCTACCGAGATAATTCTATACTTGACACTGATAACATCTACTTCAGCTATTGATCTGCTGGTTTCAAAACGTTGGTTTATAGACAAACAAAAAACCATCACCATATATCAGTGTTACAAGAATATCTGCTTTAAAATCGATATAAGTCTGCGTGTTATGATACACACTGAAAATAAATAACCAAGATATGATAAAAAGGACCATTGTTGTGTAAATCTGAATGATTTTCATTTAGTTTCACCTAAGATAAATCACGATCTTAATACGATTCGTGGCAGTTTTCCCGAATGGACCAACTACCACAATATTCTATCAGTTGACCGAAGTATTGATTGAACTGTGTATCATCTTAGCTTTCATTGATAGAGTGTAGTTTATAAATCAGGGCCTCTAATTGGTTAAAATAATGTAGAAAGACAGTAGCAGTTCTATCCAATCATGATAGTCTCCAGTAAACACTATTCATAACCACGATGTTTAGAGCCAGTTTACAGCTGTACTTTATAAACGTGTCATCTATATGAAACATCACGTGACATCAACTTTTTTCGACAACACGGGTTGCTGCCATGTGGTTGGGGCAATCATTACGTGTCAAATCGGAGGGTCGCTAATAAGACTGTCAACAACTGAGTGGGTTAACATCTTATTGACAATATTTCAGTGATTTAAGGCTTAACTGAACCCCTTTACGACACGTGCTTTCTGATGTCATTAACACGTCATCAGTTAACACCATGATGCGTTTGAGGCTTCCAAAGGGGTTTCTCATAACATTGGTTATAAACCATAACGAACATTCTGTAATGTATCTATGGAGTTGGACCTGAGTTGCGGAAATCAATAAAAATGATAAACAACAATGATGATCATTTAGTTAGTGACTTAAAAAGGTAATTGAAACAAAGAAAAAATTATTACACTTTTACACAGTTTTACATGACCAGTAAATGAGATTATTTCTGAAATGAGAAACAATGGGATTTGGAGGGGACCATTGATGATGAGTTCACCTGAATGAGAAGTTGGGGAATAGCAAACATATATAAGGAATAGTTACGCTGCCTCAGGCCGTGACGAAATATCGAATTCTATATCCTGAATAGATTATGTCAATTGATCTGTCGGCCAAGTGCAGTGTATCTGGTGTCCGCGGGAACATTAACAGACTGGCTAGTGGTGATACATGAACATGACCATAAGGGTTACAAATAGAAGTATGCTCACGTGTTAATACAGAAATGTGATCCCTTTTGCCATATCGACAACAGTATTTGACGAGTTGATAGGAAACCACACTAACACCATTTGTAGAATTTTAATACACCATACAGAAAAAGATGCTGTAAAATTTGCAATTAATTTCGATACGGGATGATCGGCAAATCCTAAGGTGTTAACAAAATTCAATATTTGATGAAAAAAATGACAATTGAATATTGTAGCAATCAAGTTGCATTTGTTTTTTTACCGTAGTGTAGTAAGGTTTGAAATACAAGCGATTTGTGTAATACACCATCGTAGGGCTCGGAAGGAATACGATTGTAACGGGCACTTAAAATTACAGTTTGAAACCTAGGAGGAAACTGCGGAAATCGAAATTGTTTGAAAAAATGTCAAAATATAAATTGAATAGGGCACTTACCAAATGATATCAAGTACCTAAACGATCTATGTCACTGATTTTCGATACATATGATAATAAATTATTGTTTTATGTTTTAGGAATAGTTTGGCAATTCATTTGTCATTCAGTCATCTCTTTTTCTTTTTATTACACACCGCAAATATGCAAAAAATTGATTTGAATATTTTGTTTCCATACTACAAAAACGTCATACGATAAGGTTTCAAATTAAAACTTTTTTCTCGCGAGTTCTGTCAAGTTTAACAGCTCCTCGGTGTGACCAATAGATTATGCAAAAACGAAATAATTTTCACGGATATATAACAGAAGGGTTTTCTCTAATTTCGAAGGTAACAGCATCTATTCTTGGCAGTATTATTGTATCGTGGAATATTGCTAAAGAAGAGAATCTCTTGGACAACAATATTTACAATATCTGCATTGTTTGGATATTTATATGTGTTGTCTCGAGGATGTTTTCTAAGAACTCCACACCCATCTATACATTCAGTAGTTTCAAATAAAATATACAAATCGACATTAAACACATGTAACAGCAGTAATTTCATTCACATTTGCCAGAATTATCGTCACTACATGAGAATAATTATCAATTTTTCAAAATATCTGCCATCGGTGATCCAGGGATCCTTCTGTTCCGGATTTCCAGATGCGTTTTATTAAGACGGTTTGGTTGGAAATATTCCCACCAATACCGCGCCTCGTAATTGACCACAGGAGAGCTATTTTGATGTTAACAATACTTTTAAACGTAAAGCTACACAAATAACACATTAATATCAGGACAATCATTTCGGTTACCTTTCATCAAAAAATTGGAAAACTAGATGAAATTAAAATATGGCACACTTCGCTTAAATCACGAACTCGTTTAAAAAATTAACGAATTATATATTCTTTTGACTACATCAAGCTAGTGATGTTTATCAGAATCCCTCCTTATCTCCGAAAGTTACGATTGCTACGTCAGTGATCCTATAGTCGTTTCTGGTGATATCTGAAAATATCTTGATTGAATGTGGCATAAAAACTGCTTTTTCGTAATACCTCACACACACAAACACACACACCTATGTATACATCATATAGAGTGTGAGTGAGAGAAACAGGTGAAACGGTGCGTGTTGTTTTTGAAATTATCTACTCATATCAATTTCAACTTGACATTTGTTGTTATAACTGTAATTAGAACGTGAAACAGACACTTAGGTAATAAGCATTAAACCATCAATCAAGCATGGTATTGGTTATACAAAGTAAAATGGAATCAGATCCATATTTCTCAGCTCATATGACTCTATTACAAATATCAATTGATATAACATGCTTTAGCAGGAGAAAAAAAACATTTTTAAGATTCCGAAATCGCTTACCGCAATAGTTCTTGGACGTAGCATAATGGTTAGAGAACCAATGAAAAAAGACTCTCGAACCGAGTGGCGAATTAGTTTCTCTATAGTGTTTACAATATTCAAGTTGATGAACAAAGTTGTGAATATGATTCTCAGTAAAGGGGGCCGCGGCAAGGCGTCTAACGGTCCTTGCCGCAAGCCTCCCGCTTCTGGGTCGAGAATTCGACGTGAGACAGTCGCAATGTACTGGCCGCAAGTTCGTGGAGGAACTCCGGCTTTCCTCTACCACCCGAACCTGACTAGTCCTTAAATGACCCCGAGTGTTCATAGGAATAAAAAAACCCAATTAAATAATATATCCCTATAGTGTTTACAATATTCAATATTATTACCATAATCCTGAATATGTTTTCTCTATAGTGTTTACAATATTCAATATTATTACCATAATCCTGAATATGTTTTCTCTATAGTGTTTACAATATTTAATATGATTTTTATTATCCTGAATATGTTTTCTCTGTAGTGTTTACAATATTAGACATGATAATCATGATTGTGAATATGTTTTCTCTATAGTTTTTCTCAATATTTTTTCTCAATATTCAATATGATTACTTATATCCTGAATATGTTTCTATGTAATGTTAACCTTATTCAATACAACCATAGTTGTGAATATATTTTCTATAAAAAACCCGTTTTCCCCAATAACTGAGAAACATAATTGTCACTGTTAAGTATCGTGGTTTATAGGATAAATTTCAGCCGTTTGCTTTCCTCCTTGAACAAGGAAAAATCCTTCTCTATTGTCTTTGTTACTGTCATCACCCTGCACGAGGAACTCATCTTCCTTGGGTTTTTCTCGAAGTTACAGAGCGAAAAGAAAAAAAGTATTTGTTGCACAGAAAATAAGAATAGCAACTTGTATGTCAGATTATCGATTTATATTATTAGGAATCGATTGGAAATCGATCTGTTAACTTGATCGATATTAGAATATTGACTTACTAACTCAGTTCAACTGCTTTCAAATGCTCAATCATATGTTATACAAATTGCTCATATCATATCGTACATGTCGTTTCAGATTACGTCATAAAGGCGGGAAACTGCTTCATGGTAAACACATGCTGTTGTTGGTGGTGGTACTCAATATAATAGACTGTGGTCTCGTGCTGGGCGAGCTCGTGCTGGATCTCCATCACGTGAAAGGTAACAAGGCAATGTGGCAACATGACGTAACACTACAAAGCAGGTCATAGGTCTCCGACAGTATTAGTGCTAATAGACTAGGAATAAGATTGGTTACGCACTAAACAAACCAGTTCACTGCTGATTCTAATGAAAAACAATAAACTCACTTTCACAAAAAATGGCAATTAATTATAACAGAGAAAAGAAAACGCGTCTTCATTTAAAGTCGAAAACCAAGTAAACGATAACCATTATAGAAAAAAAGAATATTCAGCGCGATGAAGCATGTCACTGTTTATCAAAAAATGATAGTAAGATATTTGCTGAAAACCATACATCTCCTAATCCTTATGAGATGGGGACACTTTTCTCAACGTTAGGAAGCACAACAAGTGCCAAACAGGAAAGAAAAAAACCGATTAAAACAAAACAAACTAGTCTAAATCCACATCGACATACGCACCGTCACAAACCTATAAACCAGACCAGTGTTGAACTATAAAGGAAGGGTACAGACACAGTCACATAGGGCTACAAACCAGGTCTGTGTTGAACCTTAAAGGAAGGATACATACACAGTCACATAAGGCTACAAATCAGGTCTGTGTTGAAACCACAAAAACACACTCTCACAAAGACCACTATCCAGGCAGGTGTTGAACAATAAAGAAAAAAACATCGGACACCGTTACGTACAGCTACAAACCGGGCCTGTGTTGAACCTTCTAGAAAAAGGTACACACAACATCACCAGGCTTGTGTTGAACCTTGAAGACATGAAAACACACCAAATCATACATAATATTGATCACTAAAGACAAAATCTTCAAACTTCCAGTCCTCAATTAAAGTCTGAAAGCTTTGCGGTTCCTTTTATCTGTTTTCAAATGATTGTCAACGTGACGAGATACTGGCTTGAAAGCATTCCGTAATTATGAAAAAGAAGCACAATATTGTACTAACTGGTAACCAGCCGACGTTGGGTACAGCAACTTGTCTTGAATTGTGCAAATAATTCATTGAATTTGTTATCAAATTTGGCGAAGATCTATAAAATGTTATTGCAATTATGTAAAGTGCATTTTACTTCTAGCTTTACAGAGTAAGCTTGATTGAAATTGTCAAGAGAGAAAGACAAAATATCAAAAGAGTAATTGAAGTCTCTTTTTATACTTTGAATTCAATTCGATCTCATTTGCAAGGAATCATCACATCCGTTTGGGGAAACTGTCATTGCTCAGCACAATTGAGTGCAGATTCTTCTAAATTCCATTAAATGCAGTCGTAGCCTTAAAACACAAAACCACAGCTGAGTCCTAGACAAGTTGATGAAATTATTCTGAATTTTAGAAATTGATAATACGCCAAGTTGACTGGGCAATATTTAATGCAACATATTACACAGACTTTGTTGTTTTAATCACTTCTAGTTATCAATGATTAATGTATCCTAGAATTTCTTAGATAAGATAAACTTAACAATGTGATGAAAGCATTGTAAATATTGAGCTAACACTACTTCAATCCATGATAGTAGCCGAGGTGTTTTACCGCAGACGATCATTAGTTATCACGTGACCGCCAACCTAAAACATTCGTTTAGATTAGTAGACGTGCAGTCACGTTGTACACACTACCTTACTCTCACTCTTTAAAAGCTTTCGTAAACAAAGCTTTAGTTTGATTTGAACATTAAATTACCGCACAATAGAGATGTACACGTCTCCACACGCCTGGCATTCGCCGTCTTGGATTTACTGTTTTAATAGCCCACAATGCTCGCAATGGCTGCTTAGTTTGGGGAGTGCTGATGATATCCCTGCATCACCATTGCAGATATTGCATTAACTAGGAACAGCTGTTTATGTCATCTCAGAGACGTATTTTTTGGTTGTATACATAAACCACAAGGCATGTTCAATGGTGCTAAATAATACTGCACGTTCACTTGGAATTTGGCATGATAGTTTACATATCGGCAATCATCGTTTATCTCTCCACTTTCAGCCGCCAAAATTCACCAAACATCTAGATACTGATCAAACAGGTGTTTAGGAGAACGAACATACATTTACACGTCTCTTGTTCAATCTAACAACTTTTTTTTATATAATTACAGTACACTAAAGTCTGGAAACTTCTCACTTCTGTTTCCGTTCATCTTTATATAAGCTTCCTACTGTGTCGTCAGAGATTCTTGTGTCACCCGCACACGGCCCTGTATAAAACGGTTATTGTTGTTAATGTATGATGCCTATTTAGTAGTATGTATAATACGTTCACACTCGCATTATGGAAATGATGTACTGCTGTTTATGGTCCAAACCATATTTCACCGAATATGTTTTAAAATAACAATTATAAAACGTTTTAATAGTCTGAAACAATAATTGGAAAATATCGAATTGCTATGAGACTAAATTTCCTCTCCCTGTCCTTTAAAGTAACACAATCATCAAGAACGAACATTCACCATCTTTATAGGAATGTCCCATTCTTTTGAATAGGACAGATAATCAGTAAACAAACATTATCATGAAGACATCACTACGCGCTGTCATCGTGGAAATTTATCTTGACAATTTGATTCTTGTTTTTCAGATATTCTGTCCCATTCTCAGAAGACTTCCTCGGTATTCCTGCAAAGATTACAAGCCAACTACCCCGATAACGTGGCATATACTGACATTAACGATTTGAGGACGATCTATGAGCAGATATTGAGAGCTAAGATAGAATGGGATGTTGTTGACGATGCGGATTCCTCCACAGTTTTCCCGTACACAAACACCTCTGTGACACAAGCTACACTAAACAAAACACGTGATGGCAAGGATCAAAACGACTCTTTAATATCAGATACCAGTCAATCACACAGGCGTGTAAAAAGGAGTGCCGGCGATAGCTCTTCCTGTGATTTTCCCGTTTCCGTTTCCGGCCTATCACGTTCCGTCAGTGTTGAGGAACGAGTGGCTAACGGGCTACATAAGACCAGTTTGTTTATAGTCTGTGTGCTTATCGTGGAGACAATACTGAAGATGTTCTGTTTCGGAAAACATTTCTTTGAACATAAACTTGAAGTAAGTACATTTTACATATAGGCTTATTTGGCAATACAACAGGAACATTCATGCCAAGCCTTCCTGGCAGGTTGACAAATGCTTTGCCTTGATTGAATAAATGGAAACAACAAGATTGTTGTTATGAACAAACAAACAAAAAACAAGCCAAACACCAGATTCTTCCGTATAAACAGACATAAACACATAATCACACAAAGTGACAAGATAAATAATAATACATCACTGTATCTAATGCGATTGCGGCTTTTCAAAGTATCGCATGCTTCACATGTTTAAAATCAATCCTTCCTGGCTACGTTCTTCTAATTATTTTAAATAATGAGTTTACGACACATCATGTGTTGTAAATAAGTCTACAAATGTATACACATTCATCTTTGTGGCAGGTATTCAATAACTCTATCTTCCGATAATCCTTCGTTTTCAATCCATGTGGTTCAGGTGTTTCACATCCTCGATACCTCAGGAATTACGACCACCCACTGTTGCTGTCTGCAACCCTGGAACATTTCGTTGCAAAATTGAAGGCATAAACAAAGTAATTTGATTGGTTCTAGGAGAAAAGAAACCGACCAATCACACGCTGATACGCTCCTTTTGAAGATTACAAAAGTTCGACACCCAACTTCAAAGTCATAACAATATACCGTGATGCGACCTCGAGATTCGTTTGATGTATATCAAAGAATCAAACAAGACTTCTCATCTTGTCCGCATGATGTCGCACATGGAACCACCAATTTTGCCTTGACATGTTCCAGGGTTGCAGAGAGCTAAAGTGATAATAACTTCTGACTATCGTGGAAGAGTGTTAGATAATTTTGTATGTTTCAGGTGTTCGATGCTTTCATCGTACTGATATCCTTCGTTGTCGATCTGATATTCTTGGAGGGTCTGTCCACCTACTCGCTACAAGACTTTGTATACATTCTAGCATTCATTCTACCATGGGGCGTCATCCGGGTAGTCAACAGTAAGTTTTGTGTGTATAGACTTGTACAACGTAGTTGATAGATGAAGTGATGTATTATATAAATTATCAACTACTTAGGTTGTCATACTCAAAACTTGTAGGAATACTGCTGTGATTAAGGTGACTGTAACTCTCCATCTCATTATGTTAAGCTGTTTGTTTGTCACAGCGATAAATAATAACATGTAGGCATTGATTCTTATGACAACAGTAGTCTAATTAGCGGCCATATTTTAAGCCAAGAAATTCATGTTTAATTGTCTTTGTAGAAGATAAAAAAGTGTAGTAAAGTAACATTGGTACGCTACTCCAGGAAGTATAAAATAGAAAACGATGACCTCTTGAATGCGATGGACCTATATTAGTTAATCAGAGACGGTCACTGAACGGACATGTGATAGTACACTGTATTCTTTCATTCATGGGTATTAATGACATTCTTTAGAATAAACAGACCATGTAACTATCATATACTGTGTCAACGCATCAATTGTAGTAACAACGATAGACAGAAAACATGAAAAAAGGTTTGATAATAATTAAGACAAAACCAATTTTTTGAATGTGTATATAAAACTTTAAAAAACCACAAAAAACCCCACCAGAAAATCAAAAGGAAACAAAATGCAGCATACTACCAAATCCGTGCATAAAAGTCCTTGCCGTGAGCAGCCGGGGAAGTTAGTTTCTTGAATCCGTTCAATAGGGCAACGACTTCGCCAATGATTGCTGATTTATTGGTTTTTATCAGAGATGCGGAAATTGAATTCAAACTGCTTTTGAATGTTGTGAGAGGCTCGCCTCAAACCTGATTGCTTGTCCCTCAGTTCGTTATACATGTGATAAAACGTTCCCCAATAGACGCGTCTCGAGTGCTGTTAGATCGGCTACTGCCAATTATTGACCAATCAAGATGCAATTAGATCGTAAAGCGCGATGCATGGTCTACTCGGAACACCCCTGTGGATATCGTTATTATACATGAAAGATATTTATTCAATCTACGTTTAATGTCCTGCATAACCCCTTTTTATTCCAATTGTCAAATTCGATCGAATTAGCAATTAACCTTGTGGTGAGTTGAGGAACACGCGCGAAACAGCAAGGGGAATCTTTAGCATAACTGTATAGATCAATTAATAAGCAAGAAACAATAATCCTATTAATACGTCTATATATACGGAAATCACTTACACATTAACACTCCATAGCTAGAAGGCTGATCGGTACCTTAGGAGAGAGAATCATATCTGCAGAGATTTTTACGATTGAAAATTGAGCACATAGATCTGACTGACAAATAAATCATTGCTGGTACTGTGTTTTGTCTCACTTCTCGGGGCTGTTTTTATCATTGATTGCTCGTGTTATATTTGGCTTTACTGATTTCGTCTAGACGATACTCTACTGACCGGACAATGCCATATGTCACAACAGATTACAAACTGAACGTCTAATATTGACATGTTTTCTGATAAATGATGCATGCTTCGTTTCCAACAATAATGCCTGTTTAAACAGCTAACGTTAGATTGGTACACCAATAAACATATAGGAAAGAAATTATATTATATTCCGATGACTTACGATTGTTCAAAGTGTGCTGACATTAGTTACGGTTTATTGAGTAATTGTTTTACAGGTTTAGTTGTGGTTGTGCGAGATCACGAACACTTCCGGTTGAAGTTACTGTATACTCAGAAAAAGAAAGTCGACAGTGACAACAAACATCTTCGACAGGAAAAGGAGAAACTCAGCGTGAGTAATTTGTCACTCCGGTGTGTGTGATTCATCATTCCTGGCGAATCGAAGAAAGTTCATACAATGGGCACAGCATGTCATATCCTACTTTAATGATCCCTGTTAAAACAGTTAGACCACCACATAACTCCGTGATATGTATGTTACGCAAGAACTGGATTTCAAACCTTCAGTAAAATAAAGCTGAAAATATTGTTGAAAATAGCATTTTTATGTTTAAGTGAAATAGGACGATAATGCCGCTCGGTGTTCTGTTACAGGACCAGGTCGATTCACTGCGCAGGCTCTGTTTAGGTGAAGGTGTAGACGACTTCCGCATACAGCAGAGTATGGGTAAGTTTATACATATACAATGTATATGTACCTTAATTTAAGTTATTATTCATGATCAAGGAATACTGATAACAATCTACTTTGGAGTAACGTTAGTCCATAAATAGTAGAAAAACAAAAATAAAATCGAATTATAATCGACTGTGGAGTTATAGTCAAGCTTTGTACAAACATCCTTATCTAATGTTACAGCTCGATCGAGTGCGCGTCCCGGGAAGGGGATCATGGGATCCTTCGCTAGTTTGGCTATGGGAGCAATTGGAGGTGGAAAATCTAATGGCACTAGTTTCTGGAATCTTTTAAACACTCCTAAACTGAAGAGAGGAAAATCAGAGGAATGGGAGGGCAAACTAGGCGTGTCCAAGATGGACAGTCAGTCAATGCGCTTTAATGAAAGGCTATGGACCGTGTCGGGGTCAGCAGATATGAAGAAGCCAAGGAAATCACAATCACTTACGCAACAGGGAACAACGGAAAGCGACCCTGGAACACCACCCACCATTCGCGGACGACTAAAAGCACTTAAGCGATTGCTGAAGCGCCAGGAAACAGTCGACTCCTACTCATCGACGGAAACTATAGACAAAAACTCACGCTTCTCACTAGATAGGCTGTCCTCTTCAGAAAACATTACACCGTTACACAGTGTCGATATCGAAAGTGTGACTGATATGGAAACTGGAGATGAAGCTCCCGGAAGAATCTCACTGTCTCCGTATGATGTGATCAATGAATGTATAGAGGATAAAATAGAGGAAAACTCGTCTATGGGATGTATCGGTTCACGGTATACGGCTCAAAGGCCATCGTCTCCGACCAATATCATCGTGACCACGTGTAGTACGGATGATTGTGATAGTCTTAATTTCTCCACTGCAGGAAGTAAAGACTCCGTTAAAAGTCGAACATCGGGTAGACGGACATCCGGCGGACGGACATCCGGTGGACGGACGATGGAAATAGCTGTAGATATTGAGTACAGCGATAGTGAGGTAGTTCCCATGCTGCTCCAGGAACAGGATGTCTTATCTACTGTTCCCGTGCTGTCACACCCCTCACCACCATCAGATCATAAACTAACTCTTAATCCGGAAACGGACGTTATTCATGAAAGTAACTGTACGCATGTCCAACATTTAACAAATCTTGACTGTCGACACCATAGCCATTCTTATAATTGCATACCAAGCACAACGCAACACAAAAACTGCGACATCTCACACAGCAATGATGTAGATAATAAAGGACCAAGGAAGAGTTCCATGCCGTCGAATTCGACCATTGGTGAATCAGGGCTACCTTCAGGTATCGCTAAGCAGTCATGTCCGGTAAAAACATGTTTGTTTGCCCAGAATAAACCACTTTCAATTGAAAATATTCTGCATCCAACAGCGCCTCAACATTTTTTGAGTCCAACGAATGATTGCCATTACACGAAAGACGGACAACCGCTAAATTCACAACAACCCTCGAAAACAAGACATCTTCTGGACACAGCCGTGCCGGTGGACAAGATCACCCTGCCGAATATACTTCAGCAAAACTACGCAACAAATGAACCTGGAAATACCCTCTTTATTGCACCCGACACAAGTAAAAAATGTCTTGCGAACGCAAATCCTGTATCAGACTGCTCAACTGTGTCAGGCACAGGAAACTCGGCAAATAGAATTTCTTCATCACCACCTGCTAGATCAGCTTCTCAGAACTCTAATATAGCAGTTACGTCAAGCACAATAGTCCCATCGACTCCAATAAATGTTACCTCAGGGAAAGGGCGTTCACGTAATGTAGAAGAAATCTCAACGCCTTCGTCAGATTACAACCAACCACAACTTGGAAAAAGAAACAACGGAACAATATCACAAAACAACGGCACACCATCAAAAGATAAAGGAACACCATCACCGAACAACAGACCTCCATCTAAAAACAATAGAACACCATCACCAAGCAACAGAAAAAAATCACTAAGTGACAAGACACCATCACAAAACAACAAAACACCATCACCAATTAACAAAACACCGTCACCAAACAACAGAACACCATCGCCAAACAACAGAAAAATATCACTAAGTGACAAGACATCGTCACCAAACAACCGAACACCATCACCAATCAACAAAACAACTTCACCAAACAACAGAACACCTTCACCAAACAACAGAACACCATCACCAATTAACAAAACACCATCACCAAACAACAGAACACCATCACCAAACAGCAGAAAAATATCACTACATGACAAGATGCCGTCACCAAACAACAGAACACCATCACCAAATAACAGAAAAATGTCACTACATGACAAGACGCCGTCACCAAACAATAGAACCCCATCGCGCAGTCCCTCTATGCACCGCTCTCCAAGCCCATCCGGCTTTGTTAGTATACACTCGTCAAATAGTGATATATCATGTAGTTTCCAGCCAATACAGATACCAGAAACACACTTAAACACTCCATGTATACCGGTGACGGAAGAACCACACACAAATTCAAACATACGGGAGAATTTAACACGAGAAACACCGACAAATTCAGACGTGGAGGAGAAATATAGTGGTAACTCCGCTCACACCCCGGAGAGGCTTAGTGACAATTCAGGTCACAGACAACTAGAGTCTACTGACACCCCTCGTCAAGGTCACCAGAACTCTAGTGACAACCCTACTCCAAAGGAGGATAGATTGGGACCTATACCCGATATGGTACACACAAATTTTCCTAGCAAAGAAGCACTACAGAATAAGAACAATTCTTATCACTACCCTATGGCAAAGTCGCTCAGAGCCCACCAGGAATATAATAGCCCAAATCAACCTGGGTTATTGGATACCATTGAAAAACGTATTACAGACATATCTCATCTGGAACAGTCCACAAGTTCCCTACCCTCTGATCTAGCCCCTCAGAGGCGTTCGTCTATGCATTGACCAAATGTTGCACATGTAGCAATAGATAATCTATGTGTTATTAGCTAATTAACATTTAATTAATATAAAACTACTCTCTTCGTTCTTCCCGGTCATAACATGTATACCAGGATCACGTTTACTAGCACCGCTGGCGGTGTTTCACACGTGAACACCATGTGCAGACACTGATGGTGAAATGTTTTATACTATTTCCAACAGAACATAATATACACGTGAAATGTACTCAACTCTCAAAACCTATTAATATTCTTCTCAATCAGGGAAATATGAGTATAACGTATTCTATTGAAAATTAAAGTTTCAATCTAAATTGTAATATCCGTTTTGGCAAATGTATGTTACGTCCAGTGGGAAATACTATATATTTGGAAATCAATTATAAGGGCTGAAGTTTCAGTAACCCATGCATGTAAGACAGCTTTTAACTGAAACATAAAAACACGTAATAAACAGATTGGAGATTTTTTTTATTAATTACTTTCAGATTCATGGAACATATTTTCTACTCATTTCATACTTTATTTCGAAAACCACATGATAATTCACACGTAGTATATTGTGTAATCACGCAGACAATACATTCGTCTCGTTTTTCATTCTGTATATAAGTTCACACCTCTAGCCTACCCATTAACATAGATTATTGACCTGGAAAAGATAGAATCACAATTGACAACCATTTCAGAGACGGGTTTCGACTGGCTTGTATTTTGACTCTCTAAACTATACTTTTTTCAAACATTGGTTGACATATAAATAAGCTTAAGGAGACTTAATTTGACTTGTCTTATAGCGGAAGTGTTAAAGATAGCAGATACAAATAAGCATACTGTAGGTAAGTTGTCTCCTCTTGTCCATCATCATCAGATCGCCCTGTGTTCGTGGTCCGTCCTTGGTCCGTTTGTATCATTGCTATCCCTATTTCTTAAAAAAAAGTTAGATGTATCATTTTACCGTATGTAGTTGCTCTAGGTTGTACTCTTTCCATTTTGGGATAAATCAAAACGACAAAATGGCTAACATAAACGTTGTTATCGCTATTTCGTGAGAAGAACCTGGTGGGTCTTTCTCAAATTCCTGATAAAGATTTCTCAAGGTCCCAAGTTTTGTTCTTTTGATTATGTGACCAAGAATAAAAAAAAAAACAAAAACAAGAACAAAACAAAACAGATAAAAAGCTGGCGGCCATCTCTGAGTTTGAAATTCAACTTGTCATCACTATTACTTGAGAAGTACTTGTTGGATCTTTTCCAGATTTCACATGAAGGTTTCTTTTGGTGTGTAGTTATGCTCTTTTGTTTTTGAGACAGATCAGAAAAACAATATGGCTGACGGGCCACAATCTCAGGGTTTGAATATGAAAGTTTGTTATCACTATTGTAAAACACTGGATGGATCTTACCCAGATTTCATATCTAAGTTACACTAATCCCTATGTGTGCCCTTTTGATTTTGTAACTATGCAGAAAAAATGGCTGACATATAGCCATCTTGGATTCGCCAGTTAATGAGCATAACCACTGTTTCTTATAATGAATTTTCAAATATTGTATGATTAAGGGCAAATGGAGAAAAGGAGAGAGAAAAAAGGGGAAATATCAAAGTTTTAAAGAACAAATTGTGATCAAGCAGATGTGGTGCCAAGATTCTTTTTTAATTTCTTGTTTTCTGTGATATCTACTTCCCTATAAGATTCACAGCCATGATGTTTAGACAGCTACTGTGGTTTGATGTGATCTATGTGTAGGTAACATTTCGAGAAATTTATGATTCTGCAAAACACGTCTGAAGATGTGATTTAAAAATTACTTAAAAGGTATTAAAAAGAATATGCAGACGGTTCTGTCTACACTGAAGAGATTTGTTGTTGTTTATAGTGGAAACATTCCATCATATATTATGTTTTATCATAGAGGTAGATTTCTCAAGGCATCGATACAGCAAAAAGTGTTATATCTGAACTGACTGATTTTGTTTAACTTCAACTCTGACTGATAATAAATGTTTAATGTACAATGACAACGTATGATAAGTTATGTTGGTAGGGTAATATGTGAATTGGTATCCGACCTTGGTCTTTTTCATTTTATTATGTTCAACCGCGAACAAGTATGATCAGAAATACTTAATGAATATGATGTGCAAATGCATTTAAAGCGACTGTAGTTTTCCGTAGAACTTTCAACTTGTCATTGTACTACCCAATCTAATTTTGATTCAATTATCCACATGTTCTTGATGTCAGCAAATAATCTTTATCGGTTTAGTAACCTGGAGGTTTTATTTCTCTGTTGTTCACCTTAAATTTAAAGATAGTTTGAAACCTGTTTATTCCTGTGTCGTTAACCTAATATCTAAAAATAGTGTTTAATTCTGTACCATTCTCTCTAACGTTTCATGTCAGTCGTTCACTTAAGAGTTTGAAATAGTTTGAATTTTACTTCTGTGTCCTTAAGTTAGGAATTCAAATACACATTCTAATTTGCACTTTTAATTCCGTGTCGTTAATAAGAAAATTCGATTTTTTTAAAAACTTTTGATGACCTTGAAATTGTAAACGTTAATTTTTTACGTCTTGTAAAACCAAGACACGGAAATAATCAAACGGGAATATCCATCTCTAACAAAGACTGGCTTAATTCGTGAATATAATGACGACACGGAATAACAGGTTTTCATGTAAATACTTGTATAAAGTGTAAATAGTGTATATATACAAACATATAGGCGTTTACTATACGATATACTCGACTTATGCAAACACACTGAATTATTAGAATGTACTTTTCTTCATTTTTATTGAGGTCTATGCAAGTTATGATGGTTATAATTGTGATATAAGTATTCAATCTATGAAGTAATACCCGAGGTTCTATGTACATGCTAGTAACGAGTCAGGCTTGGTATGTTAAATGACTTTAATCTGATATTGATAGCATGTATACGTTTCAGAATAATGGAAAAATTCAAAACTGAGAGGAAATGATTTCGCATTGAATCATATATACAATATATATTGAGAGTGGCATTTTTATGCTGCTGTATGTCTTAATGAGCGTAATAAAAACAGGAAATGACATCATAATAAACAGGAAATGGTATCATGTTAAACAGGAAATGACATCAATATAAACAAAAAAAATTGACATTATAATAAACAGGAAATTACATCATAATAAACAGGAAATGACATCATCATAAACAGGAAATGGCATCATGTTATACAGGAAATGACATCAAAATAAACTGGAAATAACATCAAAGTGATCAGTGACATGTTCTGTAGAGAGACTGATGTTTTCTTTCTATAAAAGTTAAGAAACATGCAGAAAGAACTTGTCAATTGGAATTTTCAATTACAAAATGTCCGATGTTTTATCATTGTTGCACATCTTTTTTATTTATGTATTTTCTTTTGCTCAAATTCTTTAGCAATAAGTGTTAAATTTCAACTCATCAGGATATGTGTACAAAGTGATTAATTATACAAACTCTGTAATCTTCTTTATACTTTGTTGATGGTAGCGACCTCGCCATGTCGGCACTAAGGAGCAAATAAAATGGTAGTGAAACATGAAGAATATTTCTTTTTATTTGTTTTCCTCTTCTTGTTTTCTAATATTCAGCTATGATCTAAGCGATGCACTTCGTGGGAGAAAGTGTTTGTTTTGTCGACATATCTAATACTGTAAGCGGAGATCTGTTGGTGTTTACGGTATTTTAGCCCAGGAGCTTGACACATTACCAAAACGTTTTACTGAATGTAGATAAAATATCAGTTAGTTATATCGTACGTTTGTTGATTAATTAGTCTGTTTGAGGACGCAATCAAATTGAGCACGCCATCATGTAAAAGTTGACAGTATCACCTATGTGAAACAGTATAGTAGTCACCCAATATTAAGCACTGCAGCGCCACCTCCTGGTCAAGCCTGTAACGGGTGAAATAAGCCTATATTAATCATGATTTAGTTACCTATGCCACTATGTAGATTGTAGAAAAACTGTCACAGTGATTAAATGTAACTTGTATTTCGTTTTATGATTTTTCTCGCTGTCCTTCTAATTCCTCCTGGGATTCTCCTATCACACACAACATAGACGTCGTTGGGATGATTTATAGTTAAACTCTATCGAAATATCCACGCGCCTAAACCTGAAACATGTAAATATCACCTCGTGATAACAACACCTCCCTGCAGACTTCCGGTTAAGTGTGATGATGTGTTCGTACTGCCAATTAAGTAAAGCAATCCACTGTCAGAAAATATCTATTCACAAATTTTACACTTTGACTTCCAGGCGCCTATACATCACTGTTGTTTAAGGTACTTTCCTATGTTTGACGTTAGATAATAAAATATTACATTATGTGATATATAATTAGGATGTGTGACTTCGTTTGTGGGAGTGTCACTTCGTTTGTGGGAGTGTCACTTCGTTTGTGGGTGTGTCACTTCGTTTGTGGATGTGTCACTTCGTTAGAAGGATGTGTGACTTCGTTTGTGGATGTGTCCCTTCATTAGTAGGATGTGTCACTTACTTTCTAAGATTTAGTATACACGTATGAGCTGAAAATGTTGCTTAGCTAGCTGCAAGTGCTACCTTACAAATTGGATGTGTCATTTGGGTAGTTAGATGTGTCACCAATTTGTTGGATGTGACATACGATTAGCTGAATGAATCAGCTGGTTTCTTACTTGTGTCATGAAGTTAGTCTGTACGTGTCACATAGTTAGCCAGATGTATACATATGTTTAAACTGAAATCTTACCTTGTAAGGTGAATTGTTATCGAGTTAGATAGAAGTGTTACTTAGTTTACTGAAAGTGTCTCTAGGTCAATTAGATGTATAACCTGTATATTTAGATAAAGTGGTGTGTTGTATGCGTCACCTTGTTAGTTTGATATGTCAACTCGTGTACTGGATGTGCCACCTGGTTGATTGGATATATAGCCTTATTAGTTAGATATGTCAACTCGTGTGTTTGATGTGT